CGACCAGATAAATGGTGGTTTTCTGAGCCTGGCCGCAACGGCTATCTCAAACTCAAAACTAATGTTAAGGTGGGAGGGTCCCTTAACCTTCGCCGGACCTATGGGTTTTTCTACATACGTCGGCCGAGGGGGGGGGGTACGACCCCCCCCCTCGCCGTTTCGCCCTGGGTGGAGCTAGCGCGTCGCGGAAAAAAGGAGCGTGCGCCGTTACGAGACGCAGAGATTGGTACCGATTTTAAGTCCTAGGTCACCGTGGTGACCTCTGAGGTCAGGTCAAGTGCCCCAAGGTACGGTTCAGTTTTTGGTGAATAACTTCGCAAAAAACGGCCGCAGAGCGCCGATTTTGGCAGCATCGTGTTTGCTCGCCCAGGCGCGTCGAATGATATACTTTTTGTCGCGGTCAGGTCAACTTGGGGTGTTGACCTCAGGTCAAGGAGTGGTCACCCCGAGGTCACTAAGTTGGTCGAAAGAGTCATGTCGCATGTCTTCGATTCGGCAGGCCTTCCTGAGTCCATTGGTGGCTTTCCCGACTCGCTAGCTCAATTTGATCAAGAGTTATTGACGAAAAACTAATATGACCTTGATGACGTCATAAATGACGTCACGCAAGGTCAACATTGCAAAAGTAACGCATCTAACCTTGCAAGGAGTACATCAAATCACGATTCTGTGTGCTTGAGATAGTTGGAGATCGTTCCCGGCGCCAGAATAGCAGTTTTCATTTTTCCCCATTGACTTATAATGGTGAGGTCACGAAAATGACCTGACCTCATATGACCTTTAGGAAAAATCCGAGATATACAAGTTGTGGGACTCATAATGGATACTAGATCCTGCAAGTTTCATTTCCCTGTGACATCTCCTCTGGCAGTGAGGGCGTTGCGAAGTTGCGACATCTGAAGACCGTGCAGAGGTTCACTTATGACGTCATAGGTCAGTGACCTGACCTGACCCAAAAATGCAGTTGGTTTCAAAAGATCCGGCTTGGATCAAAGGTCAGGTATGCAAAGTTTCAGCTCTCTATCGCCAGCGTGTTCGGAGCTATCGCGAAAAAAACCCTATGGGGGGGGGGCGGCACCCGCCCCCCCTCGGCCGGCGAGGGTTAATTTGACACCTTGTGTTAAAATTTCAACTTTCTATCTACCATAGTTTGGCCAGAAATGACGTCAGAGTGACGTCATGTCGGCCGATTTTGCTGCAAAATATTGAATTATGGCAAACACTCTCAAGAGCGTAGTTTTAAAGCTAGATCCAATTTCTTTACATCAGTGCACTACAAATACACGTAGCTATCAAACTGCTATCTCAAATTTTCAAGTTAAAATTTTGAAAAATATTTTTAAAATTACAAAAAAATATAGGTACTTTTTGATTTTTTTTTTTTTTAAAGTTTTTGATTTTTTTTTTTTTTGCAAAAAACGGAAAATATGTGATAGAAAACACACTGATGAACTACTCTAGCAAGTTTTAGCCGAATATCTTCAAAAATAGCCAAGTTATTTGCTTTTTTTGTCAAAATTGTACAATTATATACTTTTCAAAACCATTTTTCAGTACGTTTTTTACATCGTACAGAAATATACCTACATTAATGGTACCATTGTGTTCCTGAGCTCAAACTGCATCTTATATGCCCTTTTTTTGAAAAAAAATTCATTTCCAAAATTTAACTTTTCTGACCTGAAATTGACCTGACCTCCGGTAAATTCAGCTTAAAATGACCTTAAATGACACATACGACATTTTTTTCGAAATCTACGCGTAAAATTGACCATAAAACATGCGTCACGTGACCGATACATGATATACAATTTTCGTGACCTAGGATGATCTGGCCTTGACCTGCAAAAATTCGAAGTAAAAGTTCGGTACCATCAGGGTATCTAAGGCATATATCAAGGAGTGCTTAAACCAAAAATGAGCCTGATCGGATTTGTCAGCCGGCGACAAGAGCCTAAATTGTGAACAAACAAAAATGCCGATAATTTTTACTTTGACCTGACCTGTGACGCCATCGGTGACCTCGAGGTCAATGAAAATAGGTTTTACGCGACAGTTTTTCCAGCGCTATCAGACGCCGTTTGAATTTTGACGATTGGCTTGGCAGTTTCGGAGATAAGAGGGGGGAAGCCCTGGAGAGTCCCCCGCCCCCCAGTCACTCGCGTTATGGAAAATACCCCAGTCATGCGCGGGTTAAGCTTTCAAACATGGGATATGCTGTTGCTCCCATGCATTAGGGTGCGGATCATGGTCACCAGAAGGTCAGGTCAGGCCATTGACCTTTGATGACATCGGTTCACTTTGTCGAGTTTACATGTTTCTATGCTAGTTTTTTAGCTGAATTCGAATTAAGCAAGCATTTAAACACTCATTAACCCGCGCCCGGCTGGGGGTCCTGGATTTCCACGCCCTGCTGGGGGGGGGTGTTTGAACACCCCCCCCCCCTTCTAACTCGGCTCTTGGGCCACGTAGCGATACGCGGAAGGCGGCGTTCGAAAGAGCGTAAAAAATAATGAGGAAATCACTTTGGTCAATTTTTTGGTCAGGTCAAAGGTCAGGTCACCAGAGGTCATTGAAGGCAAAATTTCGCCGATTTTCAGGTCGAATGTCGACAATTTCCAAGAAGCCAACGCATAACTCGGGAACCAATAGAGCTACAGCGCCGCGGTAAAGCGCATTCGATAGCCCTATTAACGCCCTTTCTGAGTAATTTTCTCAGATTTGACCTAACGTCAACGGTTTTGCCTGCAGGGGGCAAAAACTAAAAAAATAGCCGATTTTTTCGGAAACAGTCTTTCTGCAATAACTTTTGACCCAAGCCTTGTACGAGCTTACTTTTACCAGCATCGTGTTCCTCTCGTCAAGACGCATCGAATGAACTATAACTTGACCTTGAAAGGTCAACTTGAAAATTTGACTTCAGGTCAAGGTCATGACCTGACCGGAAAGGGTCATGTTGCATATCAGTCGATCCGTATCGTCGAGCTGAACACATCTAAGGGGTTTTCATCGTTCTAGCATGCCTCTATCAAAAGTTATTTGCGAAAAACTGTTAGATACCATTCGTGACCTAAGATGACCTCAGGGCATAAACAGGGGTCACGGACACCATTTTCATGTTCAGTGTGTCTAAACCACTTGTAATTCAGTGTTTGGGAGTGTTTATAATGTCTTTCGTCCAAAAGAGACGCATTTCAATTTTCTCCCGTTGACTTATAATGGGGAGGTCGCAAAATTGACCTGACCTTAGGTCATCGATATCAAAATTCTGAGATATACATTTTGTACATGTTAATGCTCTTAGCAATCGCTGAAAGTTTCAAAGCGATCGGTCACTCGGTGTAGCTCTGACAGACATTGAAACTTTTTATGAGGTGAGGTCACCTTTAGTGACCTGGTGACCTGACCTTGAATGACCTTGGTCTGAAATTTTCACAACATGTGTAGAATTGATGTATGATAAGGTGTACCAAAAACGGCGGCGCGGAGCGCCGCCGTTTTTGAGATATTCGCGAAAAACCACAAGGGGGGGGGGGGTGTTCAAACACCCCCCCCCCCCCCAGCAGGGCGCCGGTTAAGTAGTTTTGGTGCTTTCGTAACATGTTACGAAGCTGTCAGAGGCGGTTGCCACCTACCACGAATACCTGGCTGGTTGACCTGACCTGAACTGACCCGACCTGGCCTAAATGCATGAAGACATCATCTATGATAATGACTTACATTAGCAGCTACGCTTTACAACGTTCTAACAGGTCCCGATTTTCCCGACGATTGAGTCATTGACCTGACCTGGAAGGTCAACTGATGAACTAGAACCCTAAAATTAGGTATCATCGTCTTTCTCTCGTCACGGGCAACACGCTCGTTTTTCTGCGAAGCCCTAGTTCGATCAGGGGCCAAACGCGAGGGGGATCGCACCAACGCCCTTGTGCCGTCGAAAGACGCAAAATGGCACGTGCCGGCGAGGGATAAGCTTCAATCAATTCCCTACAGGTAACCAAAGTTTGGCGCCGTTTTTATGCTAAAGATCGGCGAAAAAATTGGGGTGTTTAACGCCCCCCCCCCCCCCCAGCAACTCGCGGGCTAAGGCAGTGTACCAAATTTTGCCGAAATCGGCCCAGCCGTTCTCGAGATCTGGAAGCGGCAGCCTGCACGTTTGCACGCGCAAACTGGATCCCAACTGACTTTTGCACGGCACCGTTCTATCTGCCCTTAGCCTTGTATCAAAGTTGAGCGAAATCGGTTCAACCGTTTTCTAGATCTGGAAGCTACCTCTGCAGAGCACGTGCGCACGTGCACAGGTAGCTTACAAACCCAACCATACAAATGGAAATGCATTGTCTGGTGGGTGCCTATTGGGTGCCTACTGCCTACCCAACTGCAAGTTTTGCCGCAATTGGCCAAGTAGTTACCGAGATTGCAATTATTACCAAATCTGGCATCTCTTCGTTTTTGCACGTGGCGGTGGTACGTGCATGATGGTCACCCACATGCATCGGCAATAGTCTTATGGTTGGGAGCAGGCAAGGAGCTACCCTAAAAATTACCGCATCGTTCATCTGATGCTTCCCCACTATATCGTCATGCAGTGCATTTGTTTTGTGAGAATATCACTGTTGTTCGTAATAAATGCCGAGACTATAAAAAAAAAATTACCGCAAGTAAATCGGTTCAGTGGTGTTGCGGATATATAAGCTTCGCGAAAGCGCGCCCACGTCCGGCTGGCCGATCATACCCGGAAATTTCTGCTATTCTACGTAAGATTTCAATTGCTTCGCTCGCTCGTAATAACAGTCAGGCTATGTATTGCACTATGCCTATACGGTATACAACCTGGAGGCCCTGCTGGCAGGGGATGGGGTGGCTAAGCGGTCGAAGACTTACTGTGCGTTCCATTTCGTGCAAGCGCTTCTTCAGTGAGGCGTTGGTGTGCTCGAGGTCGTTGGTTTTGCTGATGAGGTCCTCATTGCGCGCTTCAGTCTCGCACAGCTTGGTCTCCGTGGCGGAATTGGTGGCGCGTGATTTCTTAAATAGATTTGTAGAGTGAAGATGGGGCAGAACGTGAGGGTCAAATGTGCCGTGAACGAAGGTTGAGGGGACCCAGACTTCATGTGTCACACGTAGCACATGCACTGTCGGATCTAAGAAGCGGGAACATTTGGGGAGTTTATCTCTTCCAAAGTGCCGAAATTCATGAAATTTTCTCAATTTTCCCCAACATCGAAAGAAAAGCTGGTTAGCAAATAGCAATTGTTATGGTAAAATTTCGTTTAAATTGCACCTCAAGACATACCGATGCTAGCCCGAAGTGGACAGCACAGGTAATTTACCTTCAGGTCATCCTCCGCCCTCTTCTGGTCGACCAGCGCCTGGTTCAGTCGGTCCTCCAGTTCGCGCACCTGAGCCCTCTCCAGTGGCACCTGCGTCTCGACGCCCTCCTCCTGCTCTCGTGGCACCAGCCTGGCGGCCAAGTACGGATAGTGTTACACAGCAGCCCGTCCCGCGCGTAACCGGGACAAAGCACAGAAGTAGTGACCAACACTTCGAGGCTCCCCACACCGCCGCGCCCTCCAGCCACCGACCCATACCAGTGTTATAAGGTGTGGGTAGGCTGTGCCGCTTGACATGTAAGTGAAGCGGCACAGCCTACCGGTACCAGGCGGCTGCTGCCAATGCTGAGCCATAGGAAACCGGTGAATAAAGAGTGGAACATCAACCTGCCCCCGAGTGTAGTAAGTACGGGGACCCGCAGTGGCTACTGTACTTACATACACGAACCCTAAGTCTAACAGTCTGTCCTGTCCAGTAACAAGTGATAACATTGATATCGACTGCCGGTCCCTGTACAAGGGCAGCTGAGGTTTTCTGTGCGTGCCCTCTGACAGCTTATCGTTGTTCCCTGTGAGGGTGCTGGGACAGTTTACTCACAATGAAAACAATTTAACCCAAGGCCGGCGAGTAAACCGGCGTTTCGCAGGTACCCCTATCCGCAACCATTTTTATCCACCCTCCCAGGAGTCAATTTAAGGCATTACATTTCGTAATTCATTCTGGAAAGTAGTAACACTCCACGACTATTCGCGCACCAGTGCACGCAGCCAGTACCACCCCACCCCCCCCCCTGGTGCCTCCCAGTCTTACCCCTGCTGTCTCCCAGTCTTACCCCTACTGCCTCCCAGTCTCACCCCTGCAGACGGCCGAATGGCGCTGTAAGCCGGCGGACCTCCTGCCGCAGCTCCTCCACGACGACCTGGCGAGTGGAGCGCTCCTCGACCATTGCCTGCTGCAGGCGGACCACCTCACTATGCAGTGCGGTGTTTTCCTCCTCTTGTCTTTTCATCTCTGTCTTCAGATTGGTCACCTCGCTCTTACACCCCTTCGTCTCTTCACGTTGGTTGGTCATTTCTTCGAGCAGAGCCTTCGTTTCTTCGCGCAAAAAGTTCATTTCTCCACGAACAGCTGCGATTTCCATCTGGAACACATGATTCTAGGCATCTTAACTGTTCAGGTGTTATACATGAAGAACGAGCGCATGAAGCATGGTGTTACGGCCCACCGCCACGCAGGGGTGGTGGGGGACAGAGACGGGGGTCTATAGATAGAGCCATTTCTGAATCATATCAAATACTTGTTCGGCACCCATATGGTGTTTTTACATAGCATACGTGGGGTGAATGAAAAGTTTTGAGCCTAACACAGTTACAGGTGACGCAGGTTAATGAAAATTTGGTCACACATCTTGCCACTATTTTAGGTGTGAACACCAAGTTTTGAAGTCCTAGCCCTTTTCCTTTCGTTTTTAGAGCCCGTTAAAGTGAAGAGGATTACGCGTTCGGTGAAAAGGGAGAAAATCGAGAACCGAACTTTTATTAAGTATTGCGATTTCAAAGCCATGCCTTCATCTGAAATTAAAAATGACCTGAAATGAAACTTATTGGTTGTGGCCCATCATATGGCACTGTTAAGGTTTGAGCTGCTAATTTCAAGCAGGGCAGGAGCAGCGTCCAAAATGAACAAATATCAAAAACGCCGTAGAATGTGACAAAATCCGAAAACATTGACCCTGCTCTACACTGTAAAAAAAGATTAGCACCCCGGTGTGCTAGTCGGATGCTGCGGTTCTGGAACAAGAGCCCTGGGTGCTTAACCTGCACTTAAAATGTTCTACATTTAGCAGTCTAAGACTCTTAGGTACTTGTCTAAGCTCCGAAATTGACAATTTGCCCGCACTTGAAGCACTTCCCTGCTTCAAGGGTGCTTGGAATAGCACCAACGCACGGATGGTGCTAATCTAAGCATCAGTTTTAAGCACCGTGATCAAACTTCAGAGCTGATGAAAGCACCCAAAATATGCTTCATCGATTTTGGCGGGAACATCGCATCCGTTCGGTGCTAATTGGTTTGCTTGTTCAGCATCTGGGTGCTTACGTCGTACGAAAAAAAGCAGCGAATTCAGAAAGCGCGCGGGATTCGCGACGCCATTTGCATTTGTCAAGTCAGTTGTGCGGGAGCGCTCGGCCGGGTTGGTTGGTCCATGTGCGTGCGGTCAGTGATAGAAACAGTGATGGTGTTGGTCGTTTGTAGGCGAATACGGGTATTCGTGAGTGACAATACTGAAGTGGGTGTCGTCTTAACTGAAATGAAGACCGAGTCTGAAGTCTGAAACGGAGCATCAATGGAGGAGCTGCGTGGGAACTTTCCAGCCTTGTCGGAGTGCTAAGGTGGGCTTGCACTGACCTGCTGTCGTGCTATGAATAATAATGGATGTAATTCCACACCTTTTTAGGGTTGATAAGGCAAAGTTTTATCGACATTTTACCAGATAGGCGACAGATAACTGATGGCTAATGAAATGAATTATAATCTTTACAGTGAAAGAGACAGTGCAGACTGCAGAATGCAGATGGCATATTTTTCCATTTATCTATTACGGGCATGGTTGACGGCAGACGTGGCTGTTTAGGGCGGTGGCCGCAGCCTGTATAGCGGCGCCGATATGTTGTGATTTATCAGCTTATGTTATAATGCCAGGGGAGCGGCCCTGTGGCACTGTTCGCATGGACGTGCTGATATTCTGTTGTTGTTGTTGTTTTTTAATTTGTAAAAAGGTGCTTTGTGATTAAGAAGTTTACGCTTGTGCTTAAATTTAACTCTAATAACCGTCATACGTCATGTCCATTACCATAAATAAACGACAAACAACTAAACAACTAAACGTGTTTGCAGCATGATGTAGGCATTAAGAATCGCAATGTTCCTTTCGATTTAGCTCGGCTCCCGGCCGGCGGCTACGTCCCTCGCCGCCACTCTTCAAAATGCGTCTAAGTTTTCTCCGCTCCGAATAAAAGTCCCGGCCTCCGCCAGAGGCTCGAGAAGGTTGGTGTCAAGTACCCATGTGCTTAGCACGTGCTTACGCTGTAGCACCATACGGCAGTAAGCACCCACTAGGAGCTGAAAATTGAACTCGGCACATTTTTGGGTGCTAGACGCATGCTAGGGTGCTTCGGTGCCAATGTTAGCACCCGATCTCTTAATGAAGCACCCTTTGGGTACGTGAATTTAGCACCAAAGCACCAAAACGGTGCTAGTGCTAGCACCTATTTAGCACCTATGGCTCTTAATGAAGCACCCTTTGGGTGCGTGAATTTAGCACCAAAGCACCAAAACGGTGCTAGTGCTAGCACCTATTTAGCACCTATGGCTCTGAACTAAGCACTCTTTGGAGTGTAAGTTGAGCACCAAGATGGTGCTAATGCTAGCATCTAGGGCTCTTGAGTAAGCACCATTTGGGGCATACATTAAGCACCAACAGGGTACTGAAAATTGAACTCTGACTTATGACCCAAAGGGTGCTAATCTTTTTTTACAGTGTAGGCGTGTGGATGCTGGATCCAAGACTGTGAGCTCATCAGATAGCGATAAGAATGGACATCTCCCAGGAGCAGGCTGGCGACATTCTTACCAATGGGCACGACATGAGAAAGGTCTCTGCTCATTGGGCCTCTCGGCTTTTTGCTGCAGAGCACGACGAGAGATGTGTAATGACATTTGGTGCTAGTTGAAGTAGATTCTGAGAATTCAAAGTCACTTTTCGCTACCGATGATAAACTGTGGGTGTTTCACTTCAATCCAGCATGGGAAGAACAGTGGAGTCAGTGAAAGAACGTCTCTACTCTAATCTGAAAAATTAAATGTCAGAGTCACAACCAGGAGGAAAGTGTTCCGTAATTCAGAAAATAAATGAGATGTCTTGCAACTGCACTTTTTCAAAGGGTCTGACTGTAATTGGGCATTACTAGGATGAACCACTGATACACCTTTGTTAGAAAATCAGGAAGATCAGAAGGGCAATGCTGACAAAATTGGTCGTGTTTCACCAGGACAATAAACCAGGGCATTTTTTCACTGGTTGCAATGTAAACAATCAATTACTGAGCCTTCCAATGTATCCCAAATTTAATCTTTTAACTAGCATTGGCATCCTTAGGGTGTCTATTTCTTTCTAAACCTAAAGAAAAAACTGACTGGATGACGCTTCACAAAAAATAATGACGTCATTGACACCGCGAGCACTTACCCAAAATAGCATGATTCAAGGCGCTAAAAAAAGTGAGGGAAAAAGCGCAAGGACTTCACAATTTGGTGTCCATCCATATCAACAGTGGCAAAATATGTGACCAAAGTTTCATTAATCTGCGTCACCTGTAACTATGTTAGGCTCAAAACTTTTCATTCACCCTACGTACATTCATGAGTGTCCAAACTAAATATGAACTTCATGTGACTTAACTTCTCAGCGGCCGGCGTTTTCTTTAGTCCATGATGGGACACCCGCCTGGCTTGGCCAGGCGGGCCACACCACGTCGCGTGGTGGTGGCGGCGAGCTATATTTTTATAGCTCGGCCGCCGCCCAGTCAAAATGCAGCTGAAATGTGGCGTCCGTTTTGTGTACTCGTATATTGCCAATACTGTATGTATATGCCAGCGTGTACGCTTGCCAAATATTACTCGCACGTTGTGGGGGTTTTGAAAGCCCTATTGTGTCGGTGCATATCAGGCGTTTGCGGGTTTAAAGGTCTCAATCTGGGGCGCTCGTTGGCATAGACGGAAAACCGGCGTCAGAAACCATGACAGAGATTGTCCTTGTTGGGCTTGAGAGCCTTCGATTATTATAGATGTACTTGTGTCATATTTGCATGATTTGTCAATAAACGTGAAAAAAAACTTATCAGCGGCCAGAGCACAAAGAGTAAACACCCCTAAATTATGAAAATGTTTACTTTAAACTGACCTGTGACGTCATCGGTGACATTGAGGTAAAAAAGGGTTCGCTCTACATTCTAACAATGCTATCGAATGCTTTTTGAATTAAAAAAAAATCGAGACAGTTCTTTCGGAGAGAGGAGAGCTCTGTTGAGCCACCTTCCTCAGTCCCTCGCGCTATAGAATATACACCAGTTAATTGTGGTTTTAACCAGCGCCTCGTTGAAGTCTGGTGGGTTCCTGGTTTCGCTTGGGGGGGGGGAGGGTCCAAAGAGGCAAGGGCCCCCTGTCGTATATCCGGTAGCAATAGTCGGATCGGAAAAATTCAAAAGGCATTCAAAAGAGCTTATCAAGATGCACAAGATACGATATCTTTGACCTCGATATTTACCCCTCGCGGGCCGAGGGGGTGCCGCCCCCATTAGTTTTTTTTTCGCCATAGCTCCAACCACGCTGACGATAGAGAGCCGAAACTTAACCCTCGCCCGCACATGCCATTTTCCCATCCAAGAACGCACATGGAGGGGGGGGGGGTGGTTGCCACCCCCGCGCCATTTCGTTCCTGTTGGAGATAGAGCTTAGCGGTAAAGACCAAAAAGATTCTTTGGGAAGGGACAAATGATACCCAGTTTTACCTTCTCAGGTCAGTCATTGACCTTCCAGGTCAGGTCAAACTAAAAAATGTTGCTGTTTTGGGTCACCGTTGGATATCAAGTGCGCTGCTTATCATATACCGATGACGATGCCGTTTTCTGGTGCCAAGCCAGCTAGAACCTCTTTGTCACACTACCAGACCAGATTTTTGCTGCTGAGGTCATTTCAGGTCAAGCTAGGTCAAGGTCAATTATATGTGTTTGTATGTCTGTGTGTGTCTGTGTGTGTACTGATGTGTGCACCGATTATTTATGTGTCCATATTACATGAAATCATGATCAGAGAAGCTGTTACCAAAAATGCAGTCAAAAAAACTTCACAAAAAGTAAATTCAGCTTGCCTAAAACGCAATTATCTTAGATGACCTAGGTTGACCTTGACCCTGACCTTGACACCTGTACATCGTCGAACAACATGTTCCATGATAGGTGGGAGGTAAGACTGGCAAAAAAAGGCCGAAATCAAGGTGTCAAAAGCTCACAAGGCCCATAGCAAACGCAAGATGTTGAGAATTGGCCATTTGGGTCATGACA